CCGCTCTGGACTTGGCATTGGCAACCTGTCCAGCCTCCCTAGTCCTTACCTTCTCCAGCCACTCTGGACTCGGCATTGGCAACCTCTCCAGCCTCCCTAGTCCTTCCTTCTCCAGCCGCTCGGGACTGGGCACCAGCAACCTGTCCAGCCTCCCTAGTCCTTACCTTCTCCAGCCGCTCTGGACTTGGCATTGGCAATATCTGCCGCTTGGCCTCCTGCTCTAGGGTTAGAAGCATGTTCCTTTCCTTGAGTAAGACATACCTATACAAAAGAACATAGACCTTGTGAAGGTATTCTGTGATTATGTTAACAAAGTTGTAATTTCTGACATCAAAAATAATTATCTGTACTTGAAAAGTACTTAGGGGCGACGTGCTGTGGCTCATGCCTGTAATCCCAGAACTTTGGGGGCTGAGGTGGGAGGATTGCTTGACCTCAGGAGTTCAAGGCCAGCCTGGGCAACACAGCAAGACTCCATCTCTACAAAAAATTAAAAATGTAATTAGCCGGGCATGGTGGCACACACTTGTAGCCCCAGCTATTTGGGAGACTGAGGCAGAAGGACTGCTTGAGTCTGGTAGTTCAAGGCTATAGTGGGATATGATCACACGACTACACTCCAGCCTGGGGATAAAATGAGATCTTGTCTCAAAACAAAAAGTCATATTAGAAATCTCAGTATACAGAATATGATTACAAAGAATAATCCTTTATACATAACCATCTTTGCTTATCCATTTGTTTAATAAACTTTCCATGTGCCACATGTATTAGGTGCTCAGGGAATTATAAAGGGGCATAAAACATAAAATCCTAGCCCTTACATTCCAAGTGAACAGTAGAGAAGGAGATGGAAGACAAATAACATCTACTATTTATTATACACCACACAATGTGTTAAGCATTTTACATACACTTATTTCATTTAGTTCTCACAACCACCTTCTGAGGTTGGTACTATTTCCACTTACTAAATGAAGAAGCTAAGGCTGAGAGAAGTAAGGTATTCTGGGTCACACAAGTAATTCAAGATTCAAATCCCTGACTCTCTGTGTACAAAATCCATTCTATTTTAATTCCACCGTACTGCTTCTGAAACTGTAATGTGGTGAAGCATAGCTAGTGGGACAGATGATAAGCACCAGAAGAATTAAGTGGGGGAGATGAGAAACATCTCTTCCAGCTAAGATGATCAGGGAGAGATTCACAGAGGAGATGGAATATATGATAGGAGGAGAGCAGAGCAAACACAGTCAAAGGCACTGAAGCAGCACAGCTAAAGTGAAGACAGATTTTCTGAATACATCTGTTTGAGAATAAGAGTTGGGGCCGGGTACAGAGGCTCACTCCTGTAATCCCAGCACTTTCCGAGGCTGAGGCAGGTGGATCACTTGAGGTCAGGAGTTCGAGACCACCCTGGTCAAAATGGTGAATCCCCGTCTCTACTAAAATACAAAAATTCAGCCAGGCATGGTGGTGTGAGCCTGTAATCCCAGCTACTTGAGAGGCTGAGACATGATAATTGCTTGAACCTGGGAGGTGGAGGTTGTAGTGAGCCAAGATCATGCCACTGGCATTCCAGCCTGGGCAACAGAGTGAGACTGTGTCTCCAAATAATAAGTAAATGTCTACTAGAGTGTCTAGGCAGGTAACAATGATGAAGGAAGCAGACATGGTGAAAGAACCACAGGGCAGGTGAGAAGTGGTGTGTCCCTGCTCCATCCAGAAATGGCAGCTGTTCCACAGACCAGCCAAGTTGTTGCCATGTAGCAATGCAGGGCCAGTGTTGCCAAATCACAGGTCACATTATTCAAGAGCAGACAGAAATATTATTTTTTGTGTGAAACTTCCCAACTTAAAAAGCAATTATGGTCCAAACAAAACGTATCTTTGGGCGAAATACAGTACATTAAAATTCAGCCCTGTCTTAAATCCTCTCAACCCTCTCTAATTCATCAGAGCCTGCCAGAAAAATCTACCTAAATTCTCAATTAAATGCACCCTCCAACACACTCTTCCAAAGTAAATAAGCTAAAGATTACAGACCCTGAAAATATAATAAAAAGGAGAGAATTCTAAATATAATCAATGGCTGGGCGACGTGGCGTAAGCCTGTAATCCCAGCATGCTGGGAGGCTGAGGTGGGAGGATCACTTGAGCCCAGGAGGTCAAGGCTGCAGTAAGCCATGACTGCGCCACTGCACTCCAGCCTGAGCAACAGAGCAAGACCTTGTCTCAAAGAAAAAAAAACAGCAACCAACTGTTCCCTGTTTCATTTTATTAACTGACTGAAATTGCTAGTATAAAGGTTAGTAGGACTAATGTAAGATACAGTAAAATTTCCAAATCCCCAACTACTTGAGAATTGTGACATTTGTCATTAACCTGTCACATAAAAATTTTTCATGATCTTAAGCATCAGATTCATCATCTATAGTACTATTAACACAAATCGCTTTACTCAATTTCTTACATCAAATAGATTTAGTTTTTACCTCATTGGTACACTGTAACTACTTCAAACGTCTAGATGTTAACGTATTTAGTATACTTACCAAAGTTTATGTAAATCTTCATTACTTTTGTTCCTTAGTTGCTGACGGGTCCATGCTGCTCCTATTAAAATGACAATATATAACATGAAATAATATTTCTAGCCCTGTGCCCTTTGGCAAATTATTGAAGCTCTCTAAACCTGTCTAAGCCTGTTTCCTTATCTGTAAAATATATAATTGCTTTCATATAGTATATAACATAATGTGTAATTAGGGATAAATTAGGTAACATACAAAAATACTATTAACATGACTGGCAATAGCATTAAAAAAATGTTAGCATTAGTACAGAATGTATTTTCACACCTTAATGACAAAATATGTTATGTCATTATAAATTAACTTTTTGGCCAGGCCACGGTGGGCAGATCCCATGAGGTCGGGAGTTCGAGACCAGCCCGATCAACATAGAGAAACCCCGTCTCTGCTAAAAATATAAAATTAGCTGGGCATGGTGGTGCACGCCTGTAATCCTAGCTACTCAGGAGGCTGAGGCAGGAGAATCGCTTGAACCCGGAAGGCAGAGGTTGCAATGAGCCGAGATCATGTCATTGTACTCTAGCCTGGGCAACAAGAGCAAAACTCTGTCTCTAAATAAATAAATTTTTAATTATCACTAAAAAATAAAATCTAAAATAAGCCCTAAGCCTTACTTTAGTTAATAATTTCAACCTGTTCCTTTTCTAACCATCTTGCCAATCTGCCAAGGAACAATTAACTCAACTATTATATTGTCCTTTTAAATTTCTCTAGGGAGCAGTCCCAAAGGAAAATGTAAAAGGAATCATCTAAATAATTCCTGAACTGGATAAATAATCCTAGAATGATTGGGGGGAGTTCAATAAATATATTGAATGCTGACCAATCCAAATATCTCACCAGATTTTACTTTTTCTTGCCCCCAGTTTTTTGGGTCATCAAAAAATTCTTCTAGTCCTTTCCTTGACAATGTGGTATGAAGGAATCTACACTGGTGAAAGGATGTCACATTTGGTGTACTTTTAGGCAACAAACTAAGAAAAAACCTGCAATTGAAAACATACAAACAAGTAATTAAAGTTTCGTAATATCTTGATTTTATAAGCAATATACATTATCATAATAAACATAACCATTTGTCATCTATAATGTTTTAAAAAGCTATTTGGGGTTTCTGCATAAGAATTAAATTGTTTTTCTTTTTTTCTTATTTAGAGACTTATTTTTCTTATTATGTTGCCCAGGCTGCTCTCAAACTCCTGGGCTCAAGTGATCCTCCCACCTTGGCCTCCCAAAGTGCTGGGATTACAGGTGTGAGCCACCATGCTTGGCCACAATAAATTTTGAAAATGCTTTAGAAAGTATTTTTAATATTGCATTATAGAAGCTGCTACCTTGTAATTTCAGGTATATTGTATAAAATATATTTATACAATTATATTTTAAGGTAACATTTTTGGGTCCTTCTTACATTGCTAATGGGTGCAAAAGCAGATAAAAAGAGCAGTCAATTTTGCAACATGTGGGCTGGGCATGGTGGCTCATACCTGCAATCCCAGAAATTTGGGAGGCTGAGGTGGGACAACCCCTTTGAGCCCAGGAATTCAAGACCAGCTTGGGCAAGATGGCAAAACCTCGTCTTTAACAAAAATACAAAAATTAGCCAGGCGTGGTGGTATGCACCATATAGTCCCGACTACTCGGGAGGCTGAGGTGGGAGGATGGTTTGAGCCTGGGAGGCAGAGGTTTCAGAGAGCTGAGATCACACCATCGCACTAGTCTAGCCTGGGCAAGTCAGTCCCTGTCTCAAAAAAACAAAAATTAAAAACCCCCATAATTTTGCAACATGTATCAAACACTTCCTCCTTTAACTCAGTAATTCTACATCTAGAAATTTCAACTGAAGAAATTATCACAGATGGGAATTTATAAGTTAAGATGTGTATTAAAGCACTATATAGAATATCAGGTTTTTAATTATGTAAATGTGCAGCTGAGAATGGTTTAAAAAATTATTATGCATCTGTATGATAAATTTTTGTGCAGTAGTTCAAAAATCCTGTTTTTAAAAAATAGATAATGACCTGAGGAGATGATTTAAAACTAAGTAATGAAGTATATCACAAGTATTGTATCCCACCAAAAATATTCAGCCTAAATCTAATCATGAAAACAATCAGACAAATCCAAATAAAGAAGAGAGATTCTTAAAAAGCTAATCTCATCAAAATGTAAACATCGAGAGAGAGAGAGAAAAAAAGAATCTGTTCTGGATTAAAGGAGACTAAAGAGTCATGGCAACCAAGCAATAAATAATGATCCCTCACTGGATCCTGAACCAAAAGAAAGAAAAGAGGCTGGGTACATGGCTCACGCCTGTAATCCCAGCACTTTGAGAAGCTAAGGCAGGTGGATCATGAGGTCAGGAGATCGAGACCATCCTGGCCAACATGGTGAAACCCCGTCTCTACTAAAAAATACAAAAATTAGCCAGGCGTGGTGGTGTGCGCCTGTAGTTCCAGCTATTCAGGAGGCTGAGGCAGAATTGCTTGAACCCGGGAGGCAGAGATTGCAGTGAGCGGAGATCACGCCACTGCACTCCAGCCTGGGACAGAGAAAAGCATCAACTCAAAAAAAAAAAAAAAAAAAAGAAAGAAAAGAAATTACTAAGTTACCAGGACAACTGAGGACTTTGGACTATTTGCTAGGTAACAGTAGTGTAATAATAGAAGCGTATCAATATTAAATTTCATTGGTGTTGATCATTGTACTGTGGTTAAGTCAATGTCCTTGCTATTAGAATATATATGCTGAAGTGTCATGATGTTTTAAATTCTGACGTTTCAAACAGTTCAGAATAAAAAGAAGATGAATATAAAGAGTTTTTTTTTTTTAACGTGGCTACTGGTTAACAGTTGTGAAGACTATATCGTTATTCTTTTTACTACTCTTACAACTTTTCCGTTGGTTTGAAAAATTTTTAAATGTTGAGAAAAGAACAGTAGGGCACAAAAATGCAGACATATAAATATGGTCCTAATTTCATTTAAAAATTATATATATATGTATATATGCAAAGTTAAAAAAAGTAGAAAATTTGTTTATCTATAGGGGTAGAATTATTGTTGATTTTTGCTTTCTTCAAAATACATCATCACTCCATTCTCCAAAGTGACTGAAAATGAACATATATTCATCTTTTGATAATTTAAAACGCTAAATTATTTCATTTACAAGGAAAAATGATGATGAAGTAGGAGACAATTGATTCAAGCTCACCACCTTGATCAAGTTATAAACTCTGAGCTCTGTAAAATTAAGAAAAAAAAATGCTTATCTCTGAGGGGAGTGTAATAATAAACCAACGCACAACAGATGCTCAATAACTGCTTGCGCATTCAAGAGCAAATAGGCTGCTTCCTTTTTAAAAAATCTGACCTGCTCTACTATTTATAAAATTCAACTCTACAGACAAACGCCAGTAAAAGGCAGGAAACCATACACGCTGAAGTAAAAAATGGTCTCGCTCTGTCCAAAAGAGAGTTGTCTTCCACCTTGAAATAATGAACACCATTTTGTGGATGCTTCTTTCTCACGCCTGCAGGGCGACTTTCCACGCATTTGCTATTTTCATTGTAACAAATCCTGTAAATACAAATATCTCTTCTTTTTTAATCCATCCAAACCTGACACAGACTTGGGTATCCTAACAAAAACATCTTCGGTGAAGTTTTTCCCACCATCCCAAGAGGATGCTTCTGTACTTACAGGTTTATTTACTTCAACACATGCTGGACATCTACAAACCCTATATACTGTCTGGTGCACAGCTGGCAGCAACAAAACAAGGAAGGAATGGAAATGTCGGAGGTGGGCGACTTCTCCTAGGTCACTCCTCACCGGCTCTGTCACCCGGGCGGCCTTTCCATTCTTGAGTTGTTCTCGGCATCTCGGCAACCAAACAAGATTCAAAGTTGGAGAGGTGGGCAAACTGACTTTATACATCACTTACCCTGTGCAGGCAGGGACCTGCGGAGTTAGTAACGACCTGTACGCCTTCAGGGCGGCTGAGACTCGCCTGCAAATAAGTGCCAAACCGGCGGCAGCCATGTTTTCGCAGAACTAGGCACACCGCGTTTCCGCCGACGACTGCGTCACTTCCGGCGTCCCCAGCCTACCGTGAAGGGAATAGAAACACGCTCTTGCCCTCACTTAAGATGGTCACCTTCTGCCTTTGTCCTCATTGGTGAATTGGCTAGCTCAGCTTCCGTGACCCGCCCCTCTTCTTCCTCTTGCCCGTAGTAGCCATGGCGGCCATGAGTTTGTTGCAGCGGGCTTCCGTTACGGCGGTGGCAGCTCTGTCTGGCCGCCGCCTCGGCACTCGACTCGGATTTGGGGGCTTCCTCACTCATGGCTTTCCGAAGGCTGTTGGTGGGTGCTGGCCTTGGGAGAACGGGCGCGAAGCGGGTGCGGGGCGAGAGATGGGAGGACGCTGCCAGGGTGACCTTGGTGGGATCCGGAGGGAGCAGGGACAAACGGTGGACGTGGGGCTTGAGACAGCGATGGAGCACGAGCTGTATGCGGGGTTTTCCTGAGTAGTCAGGTCGGTCGCGTTTACGTTATGAGCATTTATAAAACGTTGTTATTCGCCATCCCAACCGGTGCTAATTTGCGGATGAAGCTGAGGCTAGAAAGGTAGAGAGCCGAAACCTGTATCTCTAGGGCACCAGCTTATTGTTGCGTTCCACCTGCCCAGCGGCTGGGCTCTAGTCCCACGGGTGCGAAATCATGTTGCGGAGAGGCCCACCTCATCAGCTCTTGGAAACTGCGACCTTCAGAACCTGTAACGAAGGAAGCGAAGTTGTTTAAGGACCTGCTGTATGTGGTTTCGCTTAAAGTCACAGTTTCCAAGAACCTATCAGCGACATCGAGTGTGACTTGTGAACAGTGTTTCTGTGAACATGGATGTACAATGTCTGTTCTGAGACGCTGCTTTCAATTCTTCTGGCTGTATCTGCAGAAGTGTAATTGCTGAGTCATACGTGTCATGGGTGTTACTGGCTGGGACTGGCTTCGTGAGTGGTAAAAATTTACCAAGACAGTCATAGGTAAAGAGGGGAGATTTGTTAGAGAAAATAGGAAGATAACGTTGCAAGAGTACAGCGGGCAGCACAGCAGAGAAGGGGCTATCTGCAGAGTGGGCGTGGGAGGGCTTTTATAGGGTCTTACCAAAAGGGCTGTGAGCAGAGAAGATGTGCAGGTAAGGTCACTCTTTTGGGCTGTGTGCTGAACCAGGTATTTGGGAACAGGATGTTGTGCCAGTGGGTTGTCTGTGATTGGCTGTGTCTCAGAAGAATTGCCCTCCCCCCACCCGGGGCCCCTTCTTGCTTAGGATTCCACAATGTGGTAATTCGATTTTTAAGTTTTTGAGACGCCCCCTTGCAATTTTCCTTAGCAGCAATACCATTTTACATTCCTTTGTGTACCAACAGTGCACAAAGATTCCAGTTCCTCCATGTTCTCAGTCGCACTTGTTATTTTCTGGTTTTTTGATAGGAGCCATTCTGATGGGTATGTGATGGTATCATTGTAGTTTTTATTTGCGTTTCCCTAATTAGTTTTGTTGAGCATCTTTTCATGTGCTTCTTGGTCATTTGTATATATATCTTTTTTTTTTTTTAGATGGAGTCTCGCTCTGTTGACAGGCTGGAGTGCAGTGGCGCGATCTCAGCTCACTGCAACCTCCACCTTCCAGGTTCAAGTGATTCTCCTGCCTCAGCCTCCCGTGTAGCTGGGACTACAAGCGCATGCCACCATGCCCAGCTAATTTTTGTATTTTTGGTAGAGACAGGGTTTCTCCACGTTGGCCAGGATGGTCTCTATCTCTTGATCTCATGATCCACCCACTTCGGCCTCCCAAAGTGCTGGGATTACAGATGTGAGCCACTGCACCCGGCCTATATCTTCTTTAGAGAAATGTTTATTCAAAACCTTTGCCTATTATTTATTATTTTCTTATTTTTTAACTTAACTACAAGGTTAAAATGTACATTTTAACCAATGTTGCCGATGCTGAACTTGAACTCCTGGACTCAAGCAATCCTTCTGCTTGAGCCTCTCAAGTAGCTGGGACTACAGGTACATACCACTCTGCCAAGCTATTTGCCTATCTTATTTGTTTATTTGCTTGTTTGTTTTCTACAGGGTCTTGCTCTGTCACCCAGGCTGGAATGCAGTGGTGAAATCAGAGCTCACTGTAGCCTCAGGTGATCCTCCTGCCTCAGCCCCCTGGGTAGCTGGAATGACAGGTGCACACCACCACACCTGACTGATTTTTTAAATGTTTTGTAGAGATGAGATCTTGGTGTGTTGACCAGGCTAATTTCGAACTCCTGGGCTCAAGCAGTTCCTCATCTCAGCTTCCCAAAGTGCTGGGATTACAAGCATGAGCCACTGCACCCAGCCTATTTTTAAATTGGATTGTTTGTTTTTTTGTTGTTGTTGCATTTTATGAGTTCTCTGTGTTCTGATATCCCTTATCAGATACATGATTTGCATGTATTTTCTCCCATTCTGTGGGTTGCCTTTTTACTCTGCTGATAGTGTCCTTTCATGCACAAAATTTTTAAATTTTCATGAAGTCCAGTTTGTCTACTTTTTTGTCTGTGCCTTTGGAGTCCTGGCATTAGCCTTCTACAAGTTCCTATAGCCTCATCTTTCCTAGAAATCTACTGCTGTCATGCTTTTCATTACCCTCTGTAAACCTTTTCAGAAAATAAGCAGATAAAGCTATTTTACTTGATTAAATTCTTTATTAGACATCAAAGATCATGTAATTCCAGAGATGAGCTAAGTGCTCCCTTCAGCTTCAGGTAAATTTAATTTTTAATTGAAGACTGATATGCATAAATGATGTTTTTAAAAAATGTGGAATATTAATATGGATATATAAACAGAGTGCTGTGGAGTTAATCCAGACATAGAACAGTTGGCGTTTTAACTGAATTACGGGGATAGTTTTAACAGGTGGAACTGGCAGAAAAGTAAAGGTTGAGTTTTTTTTTTTTTTTTTTTTTTTTTTTTTTGAGACGGAGTTTCACTCAAGTTACCCAGGCTGGAGTGCAATGGCGCGATCTCGGCTCACCGCAACCTCCGCCTCCTGGGTTCAGGCAGTTCTCCTGCCTCAGCCTCCTGAGTAGCTGGGATTACAGGCACGCACCACCATGCCCAGCTAATTTTTTGTATTTTTAGTAGAGACGGGGTTTCACCATGTTGACCAGGATGGTCTCGATCTCTTGACCTCATGATCCACCCGCCTCGGCCTCCCAAAGTGCTGGGATTACAGGCTTGAGCCACCGCGCCCGGCCTCAGGTTGAGTTTTTTGATTGGATATGTGACTCTTGGGGTAGGTAGGTGTTGGGAGAAAAGACAAATAAAGGAAAGTTGGGACCAAACTGAGGGAGGGAAGGACTGACCACAAAGCCAGAGTATCTTGTGTTGCAGAAGAGCAGTATCAGGAGTGTGTTTTAGGAAGACACTTCTGAATATTGGATGGCTTATGGGGGATATTGATTACTTAGGCCAGTAAGGTAAAGAGGGCATGGAGTGAAATGGAGAGTTTAAATCCTAGAATCCAGAGGACTTGGCAAATGAGGGATAGATGCAAGGAAGATAACAGATTTTTATCCAAGGTAATTGAGAGGGTGGTGCCCTTTACTGGGAATGAGGGAAAGAAAATGACCGATTTTCACTTGTCTCTTTTTTTTGAGACTGAATCTCACTCTGTTGCCCAGGCTGGAGTGTAGTGGCATGATCTTGGTTCACTGCAACCTCTGCTTCCCAGGTTCAAGCAGTTCTCCTGCCTCAGCCTCCTGAGTAGCTGGGATTACAGGCCCGGCTAATTTTTTGTGTTTTTAGTAGAGATGGTGTTTCACCATCTTGGCCATGCTGATCTCGAACTCCTGACCTCAGGTGATCCGCCTGCCTTGGCCTCCCAAAGTGCTGGGATTACAGGTGTGAGTTACTGCACCCGGCCCAGTTGTTGTCTTTGACACACAAAAAGTTCCTACATTATCTTATTCAATTTTATAAAAATCAGAATCGGCAAAGACTTAATCACTTTTCTGAAACCATTTGCGTTTTTAAAAATTAGTTATTGAAGGCTTAGGCCTATGAAATTAATTAATACTTAACTGAGAAATTTCAGGCTTTAGAGAGCAGTGGAAGATGCCTATTTTTGGTGCTAGGAAGATCAGTGTTCCAGAAATCCTGGTAGTCACCTCACTGTAAGCAATGTTCAGCCTAATATTTTAATTTAACTTTTTTGAGGGGGAATGGTCTAGCTGTGTTGCCCAGGCTGGCCTCAAACTCCTGGGCTCAAGCCATCCTCCCATCTCAGCTTCCTGAATAGCTGGGATTACAAGCACACACCGACATTCCTGGTTACACAAACAAGCACACGCCGACATTCCTGGTTACACACTAATATTTTTAGATTTCAGCAGATGGTCTTACTACATCAAAAACAAATCATGAAGGCTCAAACATATAAAAAGAGTTAAGTGCAAGCTGATTGTGGTGGTGGGTGACGTAATCCCAGCTATTCCGCCAGCCGAGGTGGGAGGGTCTCCAGCCCAGGAGTTCGAGGCCAGTTTGAGTAACATAGCAAAAAACCTTGTCTCTTAAAATAATAAAAAGAGTTACATGCTATGAAATATACTTCGAAACAGTTAATAAGTTATCTAGGATGTTTAATGACATGACTAATTGTTCAACAATTGGGTGATTGTGTGTAAAGAAAGAGCAAGCAGTTTACATGACTATGTGCATTAATATTGCCAGAGTACACTAGACCAAGCTTTTTGTTATATTTTCCATGTCAGTTTGTAATTAGTATTTCCTAAAACCACATATAGTTGAATCTCTCTCGTGGTTGTGAGTGTGTGTGTCTGATTGAAAGGGAGAGTTAGGGAGTACACTGTCTCTTCTGAGTAAATGTAGAAGGCAAGATCTCCTGTCAACACTTAATTTACTGAAGAAATGTGGATTCAACAATATTTATGGAGCATCTCCCATGTGAGTGACACTAAAGGGTACTGAGAATACCTGAATAAGACAGTCCCTGACCTGATGGCATTTAACAAAATAATTAGGGTTCGTGCTCCTTGCTCC